CCGATTTCTGGGAGCCACGAATTTGCTCAATACCGCGTTCTATCGAGAAGCGGAGCAGCTGATGATAGGTGTTGGGCATGGCTCACATAGTATGTAACCAGGATCGCCCCATGATGAGATTATATGGCGACGGCAGCTTGACGACCAAGAATCCCACATCCACTGTTCGGGAACCTGCTCGAACGGGAAGTCTGATTTTCCCCAACGGGTACTCTGGATTGGCATTGAAGCCGAATAATGGATAAGGGGCCGGAGAAAGATCCGATTCGGAGAAGCCGAGTTTGGTGAATGTCTTGTAGTACATAATCTCCGATGTGCTCCCTGGATCAATGAGTACATGCTCAACTCTGAATCGGTTTACGTGTAACTCAATTACCAAGGGATCAATGTGGGGCAGTGTTACTTCGGCCAAATCCGAATCATCAAAAGTGATAACCTCGGCTTCATGGGGCCGTTTAGCCGGAGTGAGTTGCTCTTGAAGGTTAGACTTTGACTGAATCGCGTGCACCGCCGATGACATTGGCAAGCTGTATATCATGTGGATCATACGAGGCGAATGTGAATCTTGTGTCAAGGCTATTGCTTTGGTTGGGTTGCCTTTTCGAACGTACTGTTGTAGCTGGCCATCTTGTACCAATTTACTGTCGTACAAGGTGAATGACGGTGCTTTGAATTTCTTGGGTAGCGCTGCCTTTGCAAGCCGTCGTATAAAAGGATCATGTTGATCGTCATCCGAGCTGTTTCTTCTTCGCTTACGCCTTGTACGGTGACTCTCTTAAGAAGAACCGGAAATTTCAGATCGTCCCTTCTTCTTGGGCTCCGAGGATAATGAGTTGAAGTTGTTATCAGTATCTTATTGTCGGGCTCGAGATCGTCGACCAACTGCCCTCACGGGTCGTTCCGGGCCTTGGTATGCAGCTTGTTTGGACTTCGCCACCTCCAAGGCCAAATCCTGACAGAGATGTTTGTTCTCTGCGATCATGTTCTCCAATCTTTGTTCGTTTTGCTTTGCTTGTTCCTGGATCGCTTGCATTGTTTCGTGCTTCGAAGTCGATGGTGAGACGAAATTCAAGGCACATCTTGCGGCGATAGTCTCTGTTCCATGCATGTTTGTTGGAATGGTTTCATCATGTGGTACATGGTCGACAGCGACTGTCGGAGGATCTTCCATCACACTCGCCATGGATGTGCTTGAGTATTCTCACAAACGGCGCCAATTGTGGAGAAGTGGTTTGGAAATACTCTTCAGATCCTGGGGAATGCTCGTGATCCTCTTCTAGTCACCTGAAAAGGAATAAACACTCCGGTTGGGGGTGCCAGAATTAGCACTGCGACGGACAAGTCAGTCTCAACGCTCAAGACTGCTTGTATTTTAAGTCTAGCACAACAATTCTCACATATCTCTTTCTAGCTGATGTTTCTTCTATTTATATCTTTTCTTCTTTGGGCCTCGGGATTAGATCCATTTCCCACCTCATATTCGGCTCATTTTATAATAGACCGATCTTCACTCGGGCCCTTGCTTAATCGGTTATTTGGCTGAGTAGGGTTGGATTTGAGCTTTCGAGCCAATTGCCGAGTGCTTCGAATCTCGACTCTCCCAGATTCGACCATTCGGAATATCTACGACTCCCAATTCTCAGCCCCCACAACGTTGTAGTGTGAATGTTCACATTAGTATAAATTTAAGGTTTTTTTAAGACTAGTTGTATGTTAATTGTAAACTACAGACATTCACATTATATTTTTGTATGAATTTTATTTTTTAGAATGTTAGTTATATGTTTATCGTTTTTGTTACTATGTTTGTTGGTTGACCAATCATTTTTGTTATCATTAAACAATCGAAATAACTGATTTTTACTTTTTTCACTTTTGTTTTATGTTTTCACGTTGTAGTGTGATTGTTCACATTGGTACACGTTTAGTTTTTTAAGGGTAGTTGTATGTTTATTATAAACTGTGAATATTCACATTGTATTTTGATATTAGTTTTATTTTTTTTGAAAATTAGTTGTATGTTTGTTATTTATTATGAACATTCACATTGTACTTTGGTATGTGTTTTGTGTTTTTTTAAAAGGTTAATTGTATATTAGTAGTCATACTAGTATAAACAACGTGTTATTTTGGTCAGAAACATAATGTGTATAAAGAGATGTAAATATTCACATTAATTTTGTAATACAAATAGGTAGTCGCACCCAATGTTAATGTTCACATACTCATGTAAGATTGAGTGTGTGTATGGTTCCATGAGGAGATATTATTTTTCAGCATGCATTTGTAATGTGAAAATTCATATCAATATTTAGTGAAAGATTTTCAGAAGATAGATGATTAGGATTTTAAGAATGTGAGATTTTTTCTGTAGAATAAGGGAGAGATTTTTCTCCCTAGAATAATGGAGAGATTCTCTCTATGGAATAATGGAGAGATTTTTTCCTTGAGGATATTCTCCCTAGAATGAGGAAAGATTTTCTCCATAGAATGAGGGAGGTGCTTTCTCTATAAAATAAGGAATTGTTATTATTTTTTATTGTGTATTAATTTCAAAATAGAAACCCTGGAAAAAAGTTGGAAGGGTAATTTGGTTATATTAATCTAAATAGGACCTAATGAAATATTAAAAAAATAAAAATTAAATGGAACATAAGCCTTAAAAATGAGATGTACTTAAAAAAAAAAAAAAGAACTCTCAAAAATTACTATTATCCTTTAAAAATTTTGAATAGGGTTTGAATATATTTTTTATATTATTATTATTCATTAAAAAAATTGAATAGAGTTTGATCATTGTAACAAAATAAATTTTGAGTTTAATTTTGTCAATTTAAACATTGTTATTATTATTATCCTTTAAAGTTTGGAGAAATTACCAAAAAAAAAATATATATCTAGGGTTTGACTATTGTAACAAAATATAATTATGAATTTTTAATTTTATCAATTTAAATCTTGATCTTTTGATTTGTTTACAATTTAAATTATTTACTTATTTTTGTTAAGTTAAACTGACAAAAAAATAGTATTTCACTCATTAAACTCAATGAAAAATGATATTTTAAATATTTTATGTATACCTGCACTAAATTTAATGATTATAGTAGTCTTTTTTTGTCAAATTATTTAACAAAAATAGGTAGATGATTTAAATTAAAAATAATCAAAATATTAGAGTTTAAATTAACAAAATTAAAAATTTAGTATTTATTTTATTATTAGACTAAAACTTCTTGTAATTATGCTGAAAAGTTTCATTATTATTATTATCCTTTAAAAAGAAAATTAGTGAAAATTTCCATTTTGAGAATTTATTTATTGAAAGATTCTGCGAAATTCTGAATAAGTCTTATTTATTTAAAAATATATCCCACGAGATTCCCAATTATTTATTTATTTATTTATTTATTTATTTTTACCTCTTTTATGTTTTAATTTCATTACATGATATATGATAATTTAGATTTTCTTATAGGTCAAGATTATTAATGCATAAGAAAAATACTTGGAACCCTTTTTTTAGAATCTCTACAATATCTTTGGATCTTAATCATTAATGTATGTGTAGGATCCACTCATATATGTATGGGACCCACATCATCAATAATTGAGATCTAAAAAGATTATAAGAGTACTAAATAAAAAAGAGTCTTAATCATTATCGTAATGCATAATTCCACGAGATCATTATTGTGGCATATATTTTATTACTTAAAGTGGATCCCTCACATCAACAGCACCATTCATATGTACAAAAGCGAATGCAGAGCAATGGAGACATGTTAAGGTGGGCAGCACTAAATAAATAAGAATGGTTGCACTTCCTATTGAAGATTTGTTTTTTAAGTAAACGAGTGTGCATGTTCATATTTTTATTTGAATAATATAAAGATTTAATATATTATTTAAAAATATAAAATTTTACTATTACAGTTTTGGAAGAGAGTTTTCTCCTCTTTATATTAGAATAGAGGGTGCTATTAGGACTGTGAGTTTATCATGAAATCCACATTAACGATTCGAACTGTTTAATGTATACAATTTGTCAAATACTTTATTACTGTAAAAAATTATGTTGATCAGATATCGATAATCACTTGATCATATGACATAGTAAGTATAATTTTAAAAATAAATTGTTAAAACAAATATAATATTGCACTTAGTTAAAAAAATTTAAGGGTTAGTTATATTTTTAGTCCCTAAAGTATTAACCTTATGTCATTTTGCTCCCCAATATTTAAATTGTATCTTTGATACCTAATGTGTGAAAGTGTTCAAATATGGTTCCCATGTTTAGATTGTGTCAATGTGATCCCCAGACATAATCTAAAATTATGAATTAGATTTATATTGAGACCAAACAAAATTAGATTAAGAAAACAATTGAAACACTTTTTATACATTAAAGATCAGATTGACACAATTTAAATACACTACATTGAAATACTTTTAGGATAAATTACACTAACACCCTTGAAATTTGGATTTAATATAGATCCCCCTCCACCTTTCAGAAATTACACTCCACTCCTTGTCAAACTTTTTCTTTTCACTGAATTAACAAAAAAAATATAAATTTAGGCTCCGTTTGGGGACTTACTTTTTTAGTCAATTAGCCAAAAAGTTACTAAATTAGCCAAAAAGCCAACAACTCATACCAAAAAGTCAAAGATTCTCTTTTCTCTCTACTTTTTGCACATCTTTTCGTAATTAGCCAAAAAGTCATTCCAAACATATAAATTTTTTTTACTTACCTTTTTAGCCAAATAGCCAAAAAGTTACTAAATTAGCCTGTTCCGAAACGAGGCCTTACTTTCTTGAACATAGACATCATTCTTTCTTGAGTTTGAGAGAGTCCATCACCATTGAACTCCTTCCCCATCTGTATCACTTCTACCAAACTCATCATCACCAAATCAACACCTAAATCCCCTACACAACACCATACATCGTTTCCAATACAACCACTAAACCTATCAACACTCGAACATTGCTGGAAAAAATAAATTGAGGTGGAGATGGTGTCCACCATTGATGGACATTGACATATATATATATATATATAGAGAGAGAGAGAGAGAGAGAGAGAGAGAGAAAATTTGAGAAGTTCTAGACACAAGCAACTAACAATTCACCTCCAAAATCAAAGTAATGAGATCACACAGGAACAGCACATAGACTGTAGCATAGACACAGAGATGTTCAAAACAGACTTAAAGAGCATGCAGAAGTATCCAAAAGATGGTGAGACCAGCACTCATACTCTCATTTAAGGAGGGTCTTGACAATGGACTTGACATTGAGCTTCTTGAGGTCGGTATATGACTGTCCACAGCCAACAAACATGACAGGCGCTCCTGATATGTAAACCATCGACAGTGCTGCTCCAACCTACATATTATACCATTATCAACCAATTCAAGTAATGCAATAAATTTGAGCCATTGTAAATGAAGTTCGTGATGGCCAAAAACATTCAAAACATCTTGCAGTAGATATAAATATATATATTTTACCTTATCATCAATGGTGTCGAACTTGGTGAGCAATATTCCATCAATCAAGCGGGGATTCGGAGAGGCTGAGAGGTCTGCTAATTTCTGCAACAAAAAAACAAAACCCACAAAATGTTGCTCAATGAACTGCAAGAAATTATAATATGAAAAACGACTATGATTGTGACTGATTCCGAGTTTTTGTAGTGGTAGTTATAACTGTCTAGTGACAGCTGGCATGAGTTTGTTGGAGGTAGTTATGTTCTAGATTCAGCTCGACACATTTTGTATATATGTACACATGGACTTGTATTGATATGTGATACGACAAGAAGAAGAACATGATCTTTGAGTCACTTCTGTAATTCATGTCTCTCTCTTTGGATCATGTCTTTAAATCTCATTTTCATGGTATCAGAGCCTGAAACACAAGTTAACAATGGCGACGTATTAATACTACGTTTGTTCCATGTCTAAAACTAGATCTACTCATTTTCATCAGAATCCAATATTTTTCACTTTCAAACAAAACAAACCTAGTTCCAATCAAGCAGATTCATCAGATATTATTATGTGGAAATATCAAGCAACTGCAATTCTTTGTGCCTATGATCTTCTAGGGTTTGTAGATGGGTTAAATCCATGTCCTGCAAAGGTATCCCAAAGGTACAATTGATTAAGGCATTATTTTTCAGCCTGGTCCTCTTTCTCTGTTTATGGCTTTTGTATATTTCTTGGAGGCAATCCCATTACCTGGAGTGCTAAGAAACAAGTTACTGTGGCAAGGTCATCTATTGAAGCTGAGTATAGTTTGTTAGCTGATACTGCTGCTGAGATATCTGGGGTTCGAATGCTTCTTCAGGATCTTTCTGTGTTCCTTCTCCTCCAACTATATGGTGTGACAATGTTTTTGTGTTAGCTTTGGCCTCCAACCCAGTTTTTCATGACAAGACAAACACACAAAAATAGACTACCACTTTCTTTGTGAACGTGTCGTTCTTAAGGGTTTACAAGTTCAATCTGAAAGTCCAAATTGCTAATATTCTCACCAAAGGCCTTTGTTCTTAAAGGTTTCTTCGTCTCAAGAACAAGCTAATGTATTATCTATGTCCATTCATTTGGGGAACATGAATATGGGGGGGATATTAAGCACTAACTAAAGTGACTAATTTGGACTATTGTTGTGGTAGTCATAACTGTCTAGTGGAAGCGGGCCTGAGTTAGCTAGATGTTGTTATGTTCTATATTCAGCTCAACACATTTTGTATATGATTTCTGTGTTCGTGTCTCTCTCTTTGGGTCATAATTCAGTTTCTGCAAATCTCATTCTTTCAGAGGGAAAAGCCTGAGCATAGAGACTGAACCTGATTGAACTTCAACAACTGATCCACAGCATCATTCCCAACCAGTGCCTCCCCAACAAACAGGACAAGATCTGGATTGTTGAGGTTGATAAGCTTTGATAGAGCTCTCATTAACGGTTCATTATCCTGTAAAATATAACAGAAATTTAAAAATTCGATGGCAGCGGGATGGCATATAGTAGAAATTCATAGGCCATGTTAAAATAAATAAATAAAAAAGTTCAGATATATCATTAATTGCAACAATTTTTGTGTAGATAACATTCAGCACGTTGTGTTTAATGGTAAATTCCGGTTCTATAGATCCATTCACAAGTGCTTCAAGTGTAATGTATTTGATCAATTTAAATAAGCTGAGGCAGAATATTAAGATAAATACTTGCATTCGACCAGCTGTATCAACAAGAACCACATCTGAACCATTTCGAGTGGCCTCTTGAATTGCTTCCTTCGCTACAATTGCTGGATCTTTTTCATAGCCCTTCTCAAAAATGGGAATCTGACAAGGGCAAATAGTTACAAATCAACTACCACAATCCAGCTTGTGCCAACTATACTTTTCAGGAGTATCCCTATGGGTAACATCTCTAATCCAACAAAGAGGCCCAAGATCTATAATGGTGGTGTTTGTTATAGCTTAAATGACCTACTTATAGCTTATTTTAATTTGAGAGTCTGTGCTAGAATATTTGGTGCAGCTTTTGCTTACAACTTATTAGGCAAAAACAGTTTAAAAATAGCTAATTATCTGAACGTTGGGGGAGGTGAGCTTTTAGCTTCTGCTTTCTAATTATCAACTTTTAGCTTACAAGCTGCACCAAACAGGGCCAATGACACAGAACTGTGCATCAAAACAACACCTGGAGTCTACGTGCATGAGTTCGCAATTGTTCAACAGCTCCAGAACGGAATGTATCACATGCAGCCATCATGACATTGACCTTATGCTGCTGAAGCCAGTACGCAACCTGCAGAAGCACATTTTAGCAGTGTCTTATCAATAAAATTAGGTCATCAAACACAATCCAAAAATGCACTGATAGAGTTGAGCTTAACCTTAGCAAGATTGGTGGATTTTCCAACTCCATTAACTCCAACAAAAACCACGACATATGGTTTTCTTTGCTCCTTGGCAGCATGCACATCCCTCAAAATGTCAATCGAACGGCTAGGAGTTAAAATGCGGACAAGGGCCTCTTCCATTGCTGCCTACAGGCATCAATTTTCAATCATTAATACTAACCTTTCACAGCCGAAACGGTAAAAGAAAAAATACTGAAGAATGAGTTGTTTATATAATTTAACAAGTCCACACACCTGTACTGTTGAAGATATCCTCATAAAGGAAGCAAGCTTTTTACCTTCCAAACTTGCTGCCACAGATTCACAAAGTTTTTCAGCTATCTCCTCTGCCTGAAAGTGCCACAACATAAGAATCACTATGAGCAGACTATGTAGAATTGAGAATAATATACAAGACAGACTCAAGAAGGAAGCAGCAAAAAGAGTCGAAAAGAACCAAGAAGATGAACAGTATGAAGAGGAAGTAGAGAGCAGGAGGCATACCACATTCTTGGTCATGAGCTTGTCCTTGAGAGCTTTCAATGCTGGTTCTAAGTCTGCCTTCTCCAAATTAGCTTTCCCAGCGATACTGAACATAGAACAGTGAAAAAAGTGACTTATAAACACCTTGATCCATGGTTAGAAATGGTCTTTTTCCCTTTTTTCTTTTATGGAGGGCACACAATGAAAAGGGGAAAAGGAAGGGTTGGGGGGAAATGTTCTTTCACTATATAATGATGAAACCAATATCATTCTATACCCAGATACATTAATCCCAGGTCCCAGCATTATCTCAAACAAAGCAAAAACATGATACCAAAAAGTAATGTAACATGGTTACACTTGGGAGAAAAAGCTGCCAAAATGCAAAATTCACGCTGAAGACCAAACAATTCCGTCAACTTTAACAAGGACAAGTCTCAGAAACACTTTCAATATTGTAAGATTCTGAATCTTAGAAACTAAACCATACAATCATGATCCTACAACTTTGTGCCTAAAAGCTCATCCACACTGTGTGTGTGCAGATCACAAGTCATAATGCAAAGAATGACAACACCCATAGCACAACTCTTACAACTCATGCTCAAAATCACCATACTAAAAGTATCACAATGGCCATAGCATTGAATGAAGAAAAGTACACTAATCTTGTGTGGATTGATTTATGATACCATCTATACAAATCCAGCAACTTTCCCCACTATAAAAATGTTCGGAAAACAAAGTTCCCAAACTACCAACAATTCCTCACTATAAAAGAGGTAACCACATCATGTCATGGTTAATCCTCAACACACAAGTTAAACCTTAACACACAACCAGAATTTGAAGGGGGGAGGACGCACTATAATAGCAATGAAAAATCATGATTTAACAAGGGAAGGGAGTGAAAGAGAGCACATCACATTCAGAACATCAAAATTCCAATAGCATCACCTTCTTCTTCTTCTATTATATTATTTTATATTATATGAGTACAAAATGATGAAATCTAAATTTTGGATTTTAACAGTTTGATTGTTTATTTAACCATACAAATCGACCAAATTTACGAAGCATTGAATAAAAAATTATGATGAATGGGGTAAAATAATGTACCTCTGGAACATGGAAGAAAACCACCCTTTCTTCTTTGTTTCAGTCTTACTATCATTCTCTTCCTCCTCCTCTTCCTCACTTTCGCTGTCACTACTAACAATCTCATCTTTGTCCATCATACTCTCACCTACATCTGCTGCCACAACTGCTATATTCTCATCCCCATTCTCACTCACCGGATCAGTAAAATCCAATTTTGACTCTGGAGGTGATTCATCCCAAACTCTATGCAAGAAATAATGTATAGAGAAAGAGAGAGAATAAATTGTATGTATTATTATTGATTGATATATTGATTTGTTACAATGATTCCTATATATAGAAGAGTAGGTGGTAGTAGGTGGTAGGTGGAGTAGGTGAAGTGGAGGTGGTAGTGGTGTAGTGGGTTAGGTTTAGTGGAGTAGGTGAGGTGGTAGTGGTGTAGTGGGTTAGGTTTAGTGGAGTAGGTGAAGTGGAGGTGATAGTGGTGTAGGTTTAGTGGAGTAGGTTTAAGTGGGTGAAGTAGGTGGAGAGTAGGTGGATTTTAACACTCTATTCTTTTTTGTTATCTTTTTCTTTGGCTCTTCTTTGGAAATCTTGTTAACAACAGTATCAGTTTTCTTCCCACCTTTGGCTCTTAGCTTTTGTAGCTTATTTACATCGAAAGCCCCATTATTCTCTTTACCATTAGCAACATATGTTGTGGGCAACTCATCAATTGCAACATGATTCCCATTAGAATGTTCATTTTCTTTTTTGCGACCATTTTTATTTTCACCATCCCCACCATCAGATTCACCACTGCTCTTTTTTTTATTGCCTCCTTGAAACCCAGACTTCTGAACCTGCCCCTGCTTCTTACCGATGTTATTGTTTGTAGGCTGATTCACTGGCTTCGATTTCTTCATTTCTTCGGCCCGAGCCTCAGCCTCCTTCCTAAGCTGCCGAAATACATCATCAAAATCATTATAAACAATCTGCTTTGGATCATAAATTGCCGAGAATTCTTGCTTCACCATAGCAAGAAGATCATCCACGTACAAAAGATGGAGGATCCGTTGATACAAAGCAACAAATACAAGGCCCAGTTCATTGTGGAATGTCCATTTCAGAGTATATGCAGCACCTGGAGCATCATAATTGTATGATGCAGCACCAGAACGTTCCTCCAAAAGGCAGGACCGGATCAAGGTGTCGATGGGAGATCCTTTAAGAGCATTCCCTAGCTCTTTACATGTCCAGAGGATTAATCCTCCTCTAGTAAATATCAGTAATTGCTCCAACATCTTTGAAATCTATGCTATTATCAACCCTGCAATCAAATTCTGGAGAAATTTAATTCCCAAATACTAGAAATGAACAGAAAAACAAAAAATTCAAGAAGTAAAATCAAATTCTAGAATAAAATCACCAACGATCTGTTTGTTTGATATGAAAATAAGCAAAATTTAATTCCCAAATACTATAAATGAAAAAAAAATAAAAAGAAAAAATAAAAATAAAATTCAAGTAAAATAAAATTCTTGAATAAAATCACCAACGACCTGTTTGTTTTCTATGAAAATCAAGCAAAATAAAGGAAAAGGCATATGGATACAAATTCAAAACATGATCACAAACTTAGGATGTCACAAACCAGGAAAAAAATTTTGAATTATGATATCTCTGATGATGATCCCAACATAGAAACACAAATTAGACGATAAACAGGAATCCGCAGCACAAAATTGAAATTGTAACAGTTGAATTCCCAAATTAATCTATACAATTATATAAATGTGTTCTTCACAAATCTACAGATACACATACATATATGTATTTATAGATGGAGAGAGAAATAGAACAAACCAGAGGCAGATCGAGTATCTCAGTAAGAGTCTGGTTCTATTCGACAATGTTCATGATGAGATCAAGGGTTGAAGAATTGATATAAAATTGCAATTTTCTATGTTTGAATATCAATTTAGGGAAATTCTAAACTATATCTATATTTAGCCCTAGTACCTATAGGCTATATCTATGCTATATCTATATATATCTATGCTTGCATAATGGGTTGGGTTGGGCTGTTCGGTGGGCTTATACGAGAAAACTGTGAACCTATTGTAGGTTTGGGCCCAAACGAAATGAGCTTCTATATCACAACCCGGTATAAATTAATTAGGGAACACTGACATCTCCTAAGGTTTGAAAAAAATATAGTAAGTTTTAAAGTTTTAGCATAATTATATTAGGTTCTTTAATGTTGTAATTCATATAACACTTAGTTCAATTTTCATCAATAATCCATTAGTTATATGGATGAAAATATGATGTTGTCATCTTTTTTATATTAAAATGTATATTTTTTTCTCATTTATTCTTGTATCTTCACACCATTTACACCCTCTATATTTCATTTTTCAAGGTAATCCCAAAGCCAAGGCAACCAAAGCCTACCCTAAGGCCTAGGCAAGGCAAGGCCACCAAAGGCCAGACAAGTCAAAGGCAAGCAAAGGCCACCCAATGCCAGCCAAGAAAAGGCAAGCCAATGCCAAGACAATCCAAGCCCACCCCAAGACCAAGACAATCCAAGGCAACCACACAGTCTAGACAAGCCAATGCCAAAGCAAGCTAAGGCCATCCTAAGAGCAAGAAATTCCAAGGCCTAAGCAAGCCAATGCTAGGGCAAGCTAAGGCCACACCAAGACCCAAGGACACAAAGGACAAGACCAAAGGCCAACGCTTACTTCTAGGGTAAAAGCCCAAGCCAATGAAATTTAAGCCACCCCAAGGTCAAGGCAAGGCAAATCCAACCCAAGATGAAGGCCACGAAGGCTAAGAAAACAGAGGGGGAAGTCCAGGCTCGACGACAACTAGCAGTGGCGAAGCGGAATCTGTTTGAAGAAGGGGAGGGCAATATTAATGCAAATTATTGAGTAGGTTCAATTTGGGACACAATTTTGTTTCGTTTGATTTGGTTTTGTGATTAATTATATATATCACTACAAAAACTCATTGTACCATTCAAATTTATACAACTCTCAAGCAATAAGAAATAAAATAAAGATGAGAAATGTCAATAAAATACAGATCATAAAAGGAAAATGTTTTCTTAGATTTATTTGTGAAGCAATTAATGAGTCAATCAATGTCCATATCTTAGTCAATGGTTTGTCATGTTTATTGAAAGAATTAATAAAAAAAAATAACAAATTATTTTTGAGGGAGAAAATCTAGAAACATTTTCGAAACTTTGGGTTAAATTGTAATTTTTGAAAAATTAAGGAGGGGCAACTCTCTTAGGCCTATAGTGGCAGTAAGGCCACTAGGGCCAAAGCCAAACAGATTTTTGGAGGGAAGCATTAATTAATTTTATCATGATTGACACTTTATATGAACATTATCATGTCCACCCCGTATCACAATAATCAATGATAATGCAACCAATGCAGCTTCCTACAAATGACAACTAACAACTAAAATTTAGGACATTACATTACCAAGAGTAACTTATATTTCAAAACTCAAACAAAAAATGTATACAGGTACAAAAACATTTGGGCCATGAAATAGCAAAATCCCAAAGCAAAATAAATAATTCTCAACCATCTATCCTAATATATAAAAGCATAACACAAATTGGTTACTCTGAATTTATGTTCTTTTAACCGTTTCCAATAACAAGGTACAACAAATGTATTTTATCCTATTTAATTAAGTTCCAACTTCATTGATTTGAAAGGGCAAAAATAGAAAATAAAATGCCCACGTAATACACAAAACAACTGCTTATCTTTTCAAATTCCTATGGCTGAGTAATCCTCTTTTTAAGCAAACTAACAACTACTTCAATTATTCACTAGCAGGGAGCCATGCAATCTACGGGACTTGTAAAATTCAATGGTTACAAAAAGAAAATGATTGTTTATTTTAATTTATATTATTATACCTAAAATAATTATTAATTTATTTAAATAAAGTTTTATAGGTTTAATATGTGGATGTACAATCTATTCATTATTCAACACAACAACCAAAATTAAGTAAAATTTTAAGAAATTGACTAGATTTTTTTTCCAATGATCTCATATTGAATTCCAAATTTATTCAAGAAAAAATCTTAATAGCCTTAAAACATGAATATGGACTACTTTATGAAAGTTGTTTTTGTTTAAAAATCAACTATGTAAGACCCAATGCCTATGACGTCATGGCATATTTTACAAATCTCAATTTAGAAGTTTACCTAACTGTTTTTATTTTGATTTTGTAATTGAAAAAAGAAATAGGATTCATTATATGTAATAATTTTTTTTTTTTTTGATGACCGGGTGTCCAGGCCAGTTTATGCACATCTCAACTAATCCCAGGACCCACGCAAAGCGCTGCCTCGATGTGGATCGGGCAAATCTCAAGCAAAGCCCGCAAACGTGGCCTTAAGGAGCTGATAGCATCTAATGAGAGTTGAACCTAAGGCCTGGAGAGAGTACACCCCCAGGCCCCAAGCTACACCCACTAGGCCAATCCCTTGGGGTTAAGAAAACTACCATACATTATATGTAATCATTTTTATAGGTAACTAAACAAAAAATGAATTTATTTACAAATTGATAAATGTTTTCTTCTCATTTTTTACAAACAAAACATAGGGATCTTTCTCCATTGTTTAGAAAGCCTAACACAATCAGCAAGAAGGTTCTTGTTTTTATATTCTTTCTGCTGAAAGAAAATAAGAGGCAAATAGTTATTTTATGTTGGTGCATATATGTACAATTTATTTTTTATTAGAGAATTCATAATTGTCGTTTGATAACCAATCGAACCGGCCACCACATTACCAACAAAACTCCAACTTTTCTAAAGTTGAAATAATATTATTTCACCTTATTTTACTTTTATGAAAATTTTGAATGGTTGAAAGAAATTAGACAAGCAGCTAGAAGCATCCAAATTAGTAATCAAGAACAAAAAATGGAATGACTTCTCCATCAACTACAATTCAACAGTACTCGCACATATATTTGAAGAATCTTCAAAGAAAGTCATATAGCAGTATTGAGACTTGAATCCCGTATACAATTTGGGAAATAAATTAAAGTTCTAGCATTTTTTCTCGAACTAACTAAAACTAATGAGGATACGGATTCCATTCATAATTAGCCATTTAATTATTGTGTACATCTACATATCTAGCATGATCAAGAAGGTATCACAACGTACAAATAAAACTAAACCAAATGGAGTACACACGCTTCACATGACAACAAAATCCATATAATGTTTTAAAAAAATGAGAACAAAACAGAAGAAAATTTACATAACTTGCACATAGATGCATGGCAAGACACTCAATCAAAAAAAGCTAACAACAGGGTCAATCTATGTTAGTCATGCCTTCCAAGCATAAGCCATGCTACCCTTCATGCAACCCATCCACAACGCACGATCTATTTGTCATTCAGGGCTAAGAATTAATTGAAATGACAATATAATTTTCTCCATATGACAAAAATATATTTTGAAACAAATCACGAAAAGTTATTATGAAGATGTAAAATACAAACCAAGATTCATTATAGGAAAAGGAAAAAAAAAATTGTAGAGAAAAATATCTTTGGAACACCTTGTGTCTGTTGTTTGACTTGGAGTTTGGTTGATATCACAAATGGAAAGAAATTGAGGGTCAAAAGAAGTTTACCTAGATTGTAAGACGACATCAAATTTGCCAAGGGAAGCACATAAATATATAGAGGGTTAGAGGTTAGCCAAAGGACTTAAGTGTATATGTATAAGACCCCAAAAAAAAAAAAAAATCCACTCTTAACAATCAAAAGCAATATTCAAAATCAATATCAAAGTCGAGAACAATGCAAAGATAATATAATTTCCCAATCAATAAAAATAAGGAAATGAAGCAGATAAACAAAGTATCACATAAGCTAAAAAACCACCGGTAGGCCTTTAACTTAAGAAAATAACTTGTAAAATCAAATAAAAGTTTCAAAATCAAACAAAAGCTTCAGTTCCAAATCATTTCCTTTTCCAACGAAATTTGAACAGAGAAGGTATTTTAAAGTAATGTAGCGTTATAATGCAACTTAAGCTAATGAAACACCCAAAGCTCCACATAAGAAGATGAAGTTCACACTACCAATGTGTTTATATGTTATGTAAAGCACCCTAAACTCCACATAAGAAACAAACAATAAACCAAATTAAAGGTCAGCTTTTTTTTTCCCCCTAGAACTCACCAAATTTTTTTTCTGCTTTAAACCAAATTGCCAAGCAAAGCCACAAATGTTCTCTAAAGAACTGGTAACAATGATTAAA